CAGTCGCAAAAGCATATTTGGGAGTAGTTTAAGTAATGTGCGGGTGCTTGCATCGAGTTGGTAAGCGAAGATGGCAAAGCTTTCGAGCACTTATGGTTCTTCCAAAGGTTAGAATTCCTTAAAGTTCTTAAGTGTTGTACAAAGGTCCAAGTTGAAAACTTGAGAAACTCAAAAACCTTAAGGAAATTAAAGCAAAGGTTTTATTGGACTAGTTGTTCGTTAACAGCTATGGGAGAAGTATGCCCAAATAAGCTGAGTGCATTGTAGCTAGGGTCAACTTCCAGGGTTATGGCTAGATGAAGCAGTACAATTCGGAGTGCGCCATTTGACGCAATTGCGTGAATGTAGGCAATAAATTAGGAAATAGACATGTTTTGTTAGTCAAGGACATTTCAACGAATGCCAGAAGTATACACAATCCTAATCCAAGAGGCTGACAGTAGCGACGTGTTCCTCAACAAACTGGTAACGAGTCAGCTTTAAGTCAAGCCAATAAGTGAGCGGCTAAGGAAGTTAACACCATCCTAGAATACGAGTGAGAGACATAAATGCCTTGAGTTTGGTACACAAATATGTCTAATCGGGACGATCAGACTTAGGTGAAGTGCAGTGTGGCCAATACGGATGATTAGACAAATCGAATCGACGATTAAATTGCTAGAATCAACTAGACAGCGAATTCGTATGTTGCCAGAATATTTTTAGTGGCGAAGTTTTGTTAAAGATCAACTATATAATGGCAGCCGGATTGTGCAGCAGACGCAGTTCTAATTAGAGTGCTACCGTGTAAAGAGCAATAATATATAAGTATGAAGATGTAAATTCGGATAATGAGTGTAAAGCGTTAAGTTATTTGGATGAGAAAAAGAAGCCATTAAAATGGGACTTTTATTTAAAAGATTGATCAAGAAATCGTTACAATATATATACCAAACCATTCAGATATTAGGACCAAACATGTTGCAGTGTCATAAAAATCCATTAAATGGTCGCTACAACTTTTGCTTCGAGTAATCTCGAAGTCTTTTAACTTTTAAGATAACATGTATCCATTATTAATACCCTGAACAGGGTGTATTAAGTTAGCTACGACGTTGGTAACACCCAAAAGAAACGTCGGAAACCCTACAAAAGTATTTACAGTGTACAGCATAAGTGAATGTAATTTTTAATAATTTTGTATAAGAGAAATAAATTATTAAATAAAGAAATTTTCTAACAATTTATCTGGGTTATTTTCGTTAATTTTAGTAATATAATATTATCAAAAGGAGTAAGAATAGATTAACCAACCGTACCTTCACTATGCTGTACACTGGTATGTATTAATTGATCAGCGTGACAGCTGAGTCCTTTAACCATGCCCGTCTGGCCCTCTGCATATATGCGAATTAGTTTTTCTTATTAGTTTTTGAGATATCGACCAGAATTTTACACACGTCCTTTTCTCACCAAGACGCTGCGCAGTTGTCGGAACCACCGATATCAGACCACTATAACATACAGCTGTCATACAAACTGAACGACTAGAATAAAGTGCTTGTGGAAACTTTTCATTTGGAGAGGTATTTTCCAAGAAATTTGGGATGGTTATTGCCTGAGGCAATGATGCAATTTCCTAAAAATTGTTTAGACCGGATACCCATAAGCATATAGCTACCTACAAACTGAACGACCGGAATCAAGTGCCTTATGGAAAACTTTTTCATCTCTTCAAGCCAATGCAATCTTCGAAGAAATTGTTGGACGATTCAAAATAAAGACCTTTTTATACTTTCTTTATGCTATAAAAATACACCATTTGGCGACCAGCCTAAATTGGATTGGATGTCATTCTCGGATCGTTTGTATATTTACAGGTAATACGACACGAAGTAGTCTCTGTTTAGTTACATTATACATATGATTTTTTTTTATTTCAGATGCCCTCATTGTTTCGCTGACATTCTCTCAACACACAAAGTTGCATACAAAGAATGCGAACGTTTAACCTTTGAGCAAAAGATGAGCAATGTCCAATGACAAAGTGAATCGTCGCACGATGTTATTTCCTATGATGTAATGGCTTAAATGTCGCATTTTGATACACATATGAAACAGGCACATAAATTTATTGTCGAGTTTTGGCAAAACCCGCGCGAAACTAATGTAGTATGACATGATGCATTATCGTTGATGAGGAACTAAACCATATTTTATGCATATAGATTTATAAATATCGTTAAGTAATTGTTTATAAGATTAGAGGTTAGATGTGCTTTACTTATTACTCATAAAGTGTATAATATCTATTATTTAACTTTTTAAGGTATTAATTAATTAATATTTAGTTTAAGTAAATACGTTTTATATTTAAATAAAACGAAACAATAGAAAAAATACAGTATTTTATTTAAAAGAATTGGAATTGAATTAT